CATTGAAACCAAGTAGCAGTAATCACCTACTCAGTAACCAGACCATAATGAAACCAAGTAACAGTAATCACCTACTCAGTATGTACACCATAATGAAACCAAGTAACAGTAATCACCTACTCAGTATCTAGACCATAATGAAACCAAGTAACAGTAAAGGTACATTGTTGGTTAGATACTAGAAATAATGCTCTATTCACAACACCTAGTTTATTACTAGTATCTAACCAAAAGTGGATTTCATCACTGTGGCATTATGTAATGTTGTTTCAATTAGATGTATCAGGCAGAATATTATCTAGTTTGATAATTGATTTTTGTGATCATTTATTTATTTCAATGCCACTTTATGAAAGTTTTGTACATTAAGCTGACACAAAGTGTAATTTTCTCTTAAGATTTACATATGCAATCTGCATAACTTACACTGGACTTTTATTAATATTCACTAGGTCTATGCTTTCCTTTTTCAGTATCTTAGGATGTCAGGTTTTTTACAATTGGAGATCAGTATGCAAATACTAATATATCTATCTATCTATATATATATAAAGAACAAGTTATTGTCCACCAAGGTAATCCTCCACAGCTACGAATACAAGTGATGCAATTATTGTAAGAAAGTTACTAGATCATCTAGGAGAAATAGTCCAGCTCTTATTTTATGTAAAAATAAACCAGTTCCATCTAGCTTACACACATGCATTACGTAGCACAAGAACATATAAATGTTTGTTGTTAAACACAAACCTACATAATGATCTATATACAATGTGCTCATCACAGATACAGAAAACCCTATTTTTAGCATTTTAAGCTTTCAGACTCACCACTGAGCCACAAGGGAAATGAATACAAAGAAAAAGAAAGATACAAAGATACAATAATTAGAGTCAAAGAGCCAGTCATTAGCTTCAATTAGCATTCAAGTAAGTCAGTTCGTTACATGTGCTTGAGTCACTGTAATTAACACTGTCTATACCAGACAATGCTTACCATAACTCCAGTTACAGATAGGTTTGATGTGTTGATTGAGAATGATGGAATACATCAAGCACCTTCTATGACAGTTTTTGAGACACCCTATTTCTCAATGTTCCTGTCACGAAATTTAGTTCCCCTAGGACATGCCTGTTACAGATGTAATATGGAGGTATATGATATTTTTTCTACTTGTTTTTAGTTGTATAGGAATTTTTTAGTTTATCTAGTTTTTATACAGTTGTAGCATAGGCAAATGGTCCAGAAAACCATTGGAATTTGCTTTGTTCTAGTGATTGTTCTCTGTAGTAGATAATATTTGTTCTACTCAAGGAAATATTGCAGTTACATACGTCATCCGCAATCATGAGTCATTGCTGTAATATCCTTTGCTAGTTAAACTGTTGATATTCGATGACGAGGAACCCACTCTGAGACTAATAATGGCTGGAGACAGCTTGAATGGGTAATGAAGAAAACTTTAATATGAGTTTAACATAACAGCAAATGCACAATGTTTCAACAAGGTTTTGTCATCATCAGGTACCAAACCTTGTCGAAACATTGTGCATTTGCTGTTATGTTAAACTC